GTACTGAAAAAAATCAGTATTGAAAACCTAGTTTATTTAGGCCCAACAAAAAGATGTAAAAACCCTTTTTGGGAAGAGGTCTTTAAAGCTTGGACAGATTTACAAAATAAATTTATACCAAAAAATGAAGACGAGTTTGTATCAGATCCACTCTGGAATAATGAAAATATTGAAATAGGAACAACATCTATTTTCTATAAAGACTGGGCAGATAAAGGGATCTTTTTGATAAATGATCTATTAAATGATGAGGGAAAACTAATGACTTTTCAACAATTCCAAGACATTTATAAAATTAAGTCTTACTTATAATGGGGTAATTTCATCAATAAAATCATATAAAAAAGCTTATCAAAAAAAGGCTCGAAAGATATGTATAATGTTCTATTAGAAAAAAACAGTACTAAACTTAACTGTGAAGACAAATGGTCCTTAACACTGAACAAAAATTTTGATTGGAAAACCGTGCATAGTATGTCTTTTTACTCCACAAAAAGCTCAAAACTTCAATGGTTCCAGTATAGAATAATACACAGAATCTTGGGCACAAATAAATTTTTATTTAATATAAAAATAAAATAAAGCGATAAATGTACTTTCTGCAATGAATTTACCGAAGATATTGAACACATATTTTGGACATGCCACAAAATAGCAGATCTGTGGATAAGACTCGGTGACTGGATTTATAACCAAGCACAAATAATTATTCCGTTTAACATGGATATAATTTAATTTGGAAATTTAGGAAAAATAGAAAATAATAAAATAAAAAATTTAATAATACTATTATCAAAATTCTTTATTTATAGGACAAAACTGTGTGAAAATCAATTCAGTTTTGCAGGGCTGAAAAATTATCTAAAAGAAAATCTAATACTAGAAAAGAACATATTTTTTAAAACAAAGCCTCTTCACATTGCCAACCTCTACTGGGACCCCTGGCTTCCATTACTGAATAATTTACACTTAACAAATTAGCATTACCCTATGTAATGTTACTGTGTATATTGTTTTAGCCTTCTCCACACCACCATATATGTTTTATTTAATATATTGTTATATGTTTGTTTATTGTTTTTTGTTCTTGTATTGTGCCTAAAACCACATGTACATTTTTTAATACCTATTTTGTGTTTGTATGAATTTTTTACAATGGAAAACCAACTTTGCCAAACTTATTTAATGTTATATCTTATGACACATGCTAGTTTTGACCAAAATACTGCTGCCAAAAATCCAAATTTCAGTGATTTTTTGTTTTTGTTTTTGTTTTTTTTTTCTTTGTTTTTTTATATATTTATTACTTTCTCTTCTCTTTTTTCTTTCTTTAGGAAATAAAATTCTCTCTTTATTGAACAATATGGAAATAATGGATACATAATAATATAATGTATATATTTTATAATTCAGAATACTAACAATTACTAACTATTTTTTATCTAAATATACAATCTAATGTTTAACGAGGCTGGGATAAGGTACCGGTACTTTCTGTATCCAACTAAAAAATGTGAAAGTTTTCAATAAAGTATGTAAAGTCTGAAAAAAAAAAAAAAAAATTAAGACATTAAACTATCCAATGTCTCTCACCTTTCTCGTCATATCTGTTTTAGAGATAATTTTCAATGTTAAGTAAATAAACCTAGTTGTAAATTTATTGTAGAGTCTGACAACACATATTTAGATCTTTGTCCACAAGCGACATAACTGACTTCTGTTTAACGCAGCTGACTTGTACAATTATAAAGTCGTACCGTATGTATATGCATCTGGTTTTAAAATGTTCTGGGTTGAGCGTTCCTGGTTCCCTTGAAATAACACTTTCTCAAAATTGTCAATTAAAATCAATTCTCATGATGATGTCCGTATCAGAGAACTTTTTATTTTATGTGCACCATCAAAAGATGGCGAAATTTGGGAATGCATATTTCTCACTGAAATATGTCCTGGAACTACCGAGTGCCCTTATCAGACAGTGGATACATGTTCGTCATTGATGTTTATTAACTCACAAACGTCTGATAGCTTAGCAAAAACTAAAACTCACGAACATCTGGGAGCTTAGCAACGATGAACATATTAAACTCCCGACCATCTGAGACCATAGCAAAGATCAACATATTTAACTCACAGAAATATTAGAGTTTATCAACGATGAACATATAAAACTCACGACCATCTTAGACCATAGAAACGATGAACGTATTGAACTTACGACTATTTGCGATCTTAAAAACGATTGACATATCAAACTCATAAACATCTGAGAGCTTAGCAACGATGCACATATTAAACTCACGAACAACTTAGACCATAGAAACGATGAACATAATGAACTAACGACCATTTGCGATCTTAAAAACGATTGACATATCAAACTCATAAACATCTGAGAGCTTAACAACAATGAACATATAAAACTCAGACAGTTTCAGATCTTAGGAACGGTGGATATATTAATCTCATGATCATTCCAGAACTAAGCAACGATTAACATATAAATCTCACGACAATCTTAAACCATAGCATCGATAAACATATTGAACTTACGACCGTTTGCTATCTTAGGAACGATGGACATATTAAAGTCACGACCACCTGATAGCTTAGCAACGATTCAACATATTAAACTTACGGAAATCTGAGAGCTTAACAACAATGAACATATAAAACTCACGACAGTTTGAGATCTTAGGAACGATGGATATATTAATCTCATGATCATTCGAGAACTAAGCAAGAATTAACATATAAATCTCACGACAATCTTAGACCATAGCAACGATAAACATATTGAACTAACGACCATTTGAGATCTTAGGAACGATGGACATATTAAAGTCACGACCACCTAAGAGCTTAGCAACGATGAACATATTAAACTCACGAACATCTGAGAGCTTAACAACAATGAACATATAAAACTCACGACAGTTTGAAATCTTAGGAACAGAAGATATACTAATCTCATAATCATTCGAAAACTTAGCAACGATGACCATATAAAACTCACGACCATCTGAGACCATTCCAACGATGAACATATTTAACTCACAGACATACGAGAGCTTATCAACGATGAACATATAAAACTCACGACAATCTTAGACCATAGCAAAGATGAACATATAAAACTTACGACCATTTGAGATCTTAGGAACGATGGACATATTAAACTCACGAACATCTGAGAGATTAACAACAATGAACATATAAAACTCACGACAGTTTGAGATCTTAGGAACGATGGATATATAAATCTCATGATCATTCGAGAGCTTAGTAAGAATTAACATATAAATCTCACGACTATCAAAGACCATAACAACAATGCACATATTGAACTAAGTTGAAACGACCATTTGAGATCTTAGGAACGATGGACATATAAAACTCACGACCATCTGAGAGCTTAGCAACGATGAACATATTATACTCACGAATATCTGAGAGCTTAACAACAATGAACATTTAAAACTCACGACAGTTTGAAATCTAAGAAACGATTAATATATTAATCTCATGATCATTCGAGAACTTACCAACGATGAAAATATAAAACTCACGACATTCTGAGACCATAGAAACGATGAACATATTGAACTTACGACCATTTGAGATTTTAGGAACGATGGACATATTAAACTCAGGACCATCTGAGCGCTTAGCAACGTTGAACATATTTAACTCACGAACATCTGAGAGCTAAACAACAATGAACATATAAAATTCACGACAGTTTGAGATCTTAGGAATGATGGATATATAAATCTCATGATCATTTGAGAGCTTAGCAACGATTGACATATAAATCTCACGACCATCTTAGACCATAGCGGCGATAAACATATTGAACTTACGACCATTTGAAATCTTAGGACCGATGGACATATTAAACTCACGAACATCTGAGAGCTTAACAACAATGAACATATAAAACTCACTACAGTTTGAGATCTTAGGGACGATGGATATACTAATCTCATGATCATTCGAGAACTTAGCAACGATGAACATATAAAACTCACGACCATCTTAGACCATTCCAACGATTAACATATTAAACACTCAAACATATCAGAGCTAATCAACGATGAACATAACCTCAGAAACGTCTGATAGCTTAGCAGCGATAAATATGTAAAACTAACAACCTTCTGATAGCTTAGCAAAATATTAATCACACGAACATCTGGGAGCTTAGCAACGATGACTATATTAAACTCCAAACCATCTGAGAGCTTTGAGACGATAAACATATTGATCTCACGACCATCTGAGAGCTTGGTAACGATGAACTTATTGAACTCACGACTATTTGAGATCTTAAGAACGATGCACATATTAAACTCACGAACAACAGCTTGGCAACGACGAACATATTAAACTAACGATCATCTGAGAACTTGGCAACGATGAACATATTAAACTAACGATCATCTGAGAGCTTGGCAACGATGAATATATTAAACTCATGGACATTTAATAGAGCTTAGCAACGATAACCATATAAAACTCACGACAGTTTCGGAACTTAGGAACGATGGATATATTATTCACAGGATCATTCGAGAACTTAGCAACGATGAATCTATAAACTCACGACTATCTGAGACCATTGCAAGATGAACATATTAAACTCACAAACATATGAGAGCTTATCAACGATCAACATTTGAGAGCTTAGCAACGATGAATATATGAAACTCACAAACATTTGAAAGCTTAGCAACTATGTGCATACTCGAACGACCATCTGAGATCCCAGACACAATTTACATATTAAAACACACGAACATCTCACAGCTTAGCAGCGATGAACATATTAACCTATGAACATCTGAGACATTTAAGTCAGAGCTATCATAATGACAATGACGATACCTCCTTCAAAAAAACATAACTAAGATATCCCACGAAACGTTCAAATAAAGACTTTCGAAAAGTACATTTAGTTTGGGATTAAAAGATCTGGTGGAATATTTGATATATCTAGATCATTTTAGATTATTATTTATCATAATCGAGTACACATGCTATTATTGGTTTTAAAATATTTATGTATATTAGCACATGCAAAATAAAAGTATTCAGATTGTTTGGACAAATGTGATAATTTCCATTTATTTTCTGCATGGGTATAAAACATTCTCATTGTTCCTTTATACGTCTATGATTGAAATCCCGGATGGTTCCTCAATTCGCAGCCCTACAGATCCGTCCATAAAGTAGTGTATAAATGGATTATCAATGGTAATAAAACATCCTGGTCTTATACCGGACCAGCTGAAGAACGGAAATGGATTATCATAGTCCAGGTAAAATGCGACATATATTTCCTCTCCATATTTGTCCTGAAAAAATCATATATAAGAAATAATAGATATTGTACACTATGGATATAAATAGCAAACTATATGGTTCAAAATTAGTACCTTAAAAGTTGCTGAACTTATATATAAAAGGGAAAAAGAGAAGATTAATCGGAAATGACGTTCTCGTTTTTGTCATTTCTGAATACGATATATCACCAAATGTTTACTTGTAAGGAGTAACACGATGAGTGCCACCAGTTTAGCAGGAACATCCATTACTAAAGTAAGGTAGGCTTATTGGTTTTTCCGTTTGAATGGTTTTACACTAGTAATTTTTTGGGGCCCTTTATAGCTTGCTGTTCGGTGTGAGCCAATGCTCCGTGTTGAAGGCCGCTCCTTGACCTATAAGGGGACGACCATTTGATATTCTGGGGGGGGGGGGGGGGGTGGGGCAGGAGGATTTTGAAAATAAATAACCCAGCCTTGATAAACACAAAAATAAATGGTTTGTTCTGTGGTAGTTCGAAAATAAATAACCTGACTTACAATGTATTGAAAATGAATAACTTGGTAGGTCTTTGAGCCATTTTATAAATGCTATTCGAAAGTATGAGGTGGCACCAGATTCTTCATAAAATTCATCTGTTTAAAAAAAAAAATCGGGAAACACTTCCCAAATCTTTTAATAATAAAGGTATAAATATTATTTAAATATACTTGAAATGTCTGAAAATGGGTTTCATTTAACTTGAGGTATATTGGCTCAGGAACACTTACCTCACTTTTATTACAGGGCTGTAACTACATTGAGGCAAATGCCTTTATGTAGGAAATTTTAAAACCAAAAGCTTGTCTTCATATCAAATTGTTTTCACAGCGAGTGTTTGCAAGAAGCAAGTTCTGTTCTATCTTGGACGTAGCACCTGTTTTTTCGGGATCAATGTTTCTTTAAATTTGTCTTTTGTTCATTGATTGCCCTTCTGTATTCTCTTAGTGTTGCATTCCTTTTGTGATTTAGTAATTTTGTTTTCAACTTGATCATGAGTTTTATTTTATTTAAGACTTTTCAGCTAATTTTACAACTTTACTACTTTAAATTGTATCCCAGTTAAGAGCTACATCAAGTTGTAATTGAAATGTGTTATTAAAAATTACTTGACATAGTTATATCACTGATAATCAACCCCCTCTTAACTTAATTTGAATAAAACCCCATATAATTTACAGGTATAAAAGATTTAAATTCTGCATACCGAAACAACAAAAAAAAAACAAAAAAAAAAAAAACAAGCAGCCACATACTTAACATATTGGTCTTTTGATGTTGTCCATAAAAACTTAAGTCTTATGCTGAATCTATACATTTTGCTTTGAGACCAAAATATTGTCAAAAAATTATTTAAACAGAACTTGCGTTTTCAGAATAAGAAAAGGTCTGGGAACGCACAGAAAGCACGATTTTGCATCATTTGTTCTATAGTTTCTTTGGGCCTTCAGGGGCTTCAAAACCCTTCAAAATTTTTTTGCCTCGCTCCACTCGGGGTAAATATATTTGGCAATACTTTTAAAAGAGGCTAGTCACAGCCCAAACCCTAATACCGTGTATGTATGCAATACATGTATATGCAGTTTGGAATCCAGAAGATTCATTTCCGCAGAGGATGATGATTAATTTTGATTAAATGGTACATTAATGACTTGACTGTACATGTATTATTTATAATAAAAAATGAATTTAAAAATTGTATGTTTTCAAATATTATTAATATAGTTATGAAAATAAATAATCAGTCCCTTGTTTTAATGAAAATGAAAAATCTTGCTTCAACAGTGCAGAACATAAATAATCTGTCCTCTTAGTTTACAAAAATAAATAACCGATCCAAAACAAGTCCTCCTGCCCACCCCACCCCGCCTCCCCAAGAATATCAAATGGTCGTCCCCTATTATGGTTTACTTTTATAAATTGTAACTTGGATGGAGAGTTGTCTCATTGGCACTCATACCACATCTTCCTATATCTAAATAATTAGAGTTGATTTATCTTTACTTTTATTATATTGATTCTTGGACTTTGGTCTTTTTTGAAACATGATATTGTCACTGTTTATTCTGTCTATTGTTATTGATTGTCATTTTGTAGGTATCTGCTTACCTTTTTATAACAACTGCAAAGGTTAATGAATGAGAAACAGAGACGGAAGATATCAAAGGGATATTCAAACTCATAAAACGACGACAAACTGACGACGCAATGACAAAAAACGAAAAATGACCAAACGACAAACGGCCTTATATAAAACACAACATAGAAAATTAAAGACTGAGAAAAAAACAAACCCCGTCGGGGGTAATTTCTGGTGCTCCGGAAGAGTAGGTAGATCCTGCTTCATATGTGACACCAGTAGTATTGCTCAGGCAAGTACAAACTCGGTGATAAGTCTAATTCGGGGATGTCACATTCGAAGAAAAGAGGAAGGGATCATTGTGGTTACGACAATCGGAATATATCCGTCCGTCATCTGTGAAGCAGATATTCTATAACGGTCAACTAACTAGTGAGGCGTTTGTAAATTTTTCGACGGGATGATTTAAATTTAGAACCTTTCTTTACTAGCTTATTTGTAAGTCAGTAGAGCAATTTTTAAATTGGTATTTACGAAAAAAATCTTATCGTTGATTAAACATTTTTATGAGCACGTGTTTATGGATGGGTCCTCATCAGGTGAACTTTTAAGTTACATCAAAAGTTAAGAAATATTAAATATTCCACCAGCAGCGGTAGCAACCACGTGATACTTTTTTTTATACACGTGAACCATTTTTCGTGCGCATTCCAGGTGTTTCTGGAATAAACCTCCTCGTGTGCACTTAAAACATAAAGATTGAAAGCCTTAAGAGCCTGAAACCCAAAAGCCAAACAGAATAGTAAATAGCTACAAAGGTCAGCTTTGCCTTAGAATGTTTAAACCTAAGTTTTAGTGCAACGACACAGCAGCAGAAACTGACAAACAATTAAATCATGTCAGTACAGCAAAGTATCGGCTAATGGAGGGATTGTATCAACGAGCACTGAAAGTCATCCAACAATTGTTCGTCACTCAACAACAGAACCAACTCGATGTCAGAAAAACAAACCCGTATAATACCCTCCAAAAAAGTGCGTTCATAAATAAACGTTATGTACAAAATGTATGCTCGAAATCTAAATATTTGGATGAATGTTTTAAATGGTGAATAATGTTCTTTTTAAATGTATAAATATATACCCTTTATATCACCTTTTTTGAATTGAAAAAAATAGTCATTGAATTGGCATAAACAGTTTATGTTTTCTGTTGATTTACTGTTATCTGATGAAAAAAGTAAAATAACAAAAATACCGAACTCCAAGGAAAATTCAAAACGGAAAGTCCCTTATCAAATGGCAAAAGCTCAAACACATTAAACGAATGGAAAACAACTGTCATATTCCTGACTTGGTACAGGCATTTCTTTATGTAGAAAATGGTGGATTAAACCTGGTTTTAATTTATAGCTTGCTAAACCTCTCAATTGTATGACAGTCGCATAAAATTCCATTATATTGACAACAATGTGTGAACAAAACAAACAGCTTACAAAAATGTTGATCACCACATAAACTTTTCTTAATGGCAGACTACTAAAATATACTCATATTTTTTTTGAGTTCTGAAATAGTCAAATCCATGGTGTACGGGAGGCAAGTTGAACTCTTGATATTCAAATCATTATACACGTAAGTAAAACTTCCGTTTTAAAGAATAAAACTGTCGCACGGTAACGCACAAAATGAAAAATTTAAGAATATCCCATGTTTTGACATTTTCCCTAATCATTTAAGCTATGTTTCAGCTAGTTACCGTGTGTAAAAAAGGTCATTTTTTTTTATATTCTGTGATAAATAACTCCATCTTGAAAAATTGATTTTAAAGGCAAAGTGTAACTCAGTGATATGTATGAAGCTTAACTCAGTGATATGTATTAAGCTTAACTCAGTGATATGCATTTAGCTTAACTCAGTGATATGTATTAAGCTTAACTCAGTGATATGTGTTAAGCTTAACTCAGTGATATGCATTAAGCTTAACTCAGTGATATGTGTTAAGCTTAACTCAGTGATATGCATTAAGCTTAACTCAGTGATATGCATTAAGCTTAACTCAATGATATATATTAAGCTTAACTCAGTGATATACTTAAGCTTAACTCAGTGATATGTATTAAGCTTAACTCAGTGATATGTATTTATACATTTTCATTGACATTAATCATTTATTTTACTATTTTCCGTTTTATAATCCAATTTTCAAACTGTATTTCCGTACTCAGGGGCACTGATATTAGTGATAACCAACATGTGATGAGAAAGCATGACAATCCGGAATTGTCCGTCACTGTTTAATACAAAACAAAACCATTATTGTCCCCCTAATGCCGCCAAGCAATATGTCTGCATACTAAAATATGATCTGAACACATTGCCATTCAATTTTTCCTTTGCTAAAACTGCACTGAAATTGTAACCTATCTTAATGTGTGATGCTAACTCAATATTCTACTCCTTAAAACTGATATATTATGTCGTGTCGAATTATAAATGAAACGTGTATCATGGTTTCATCGAGTTCTTTAAAAAAATGTCTATACCTAGTCAGAACATTGCCCTAAAAAACATATTCAGTCCAAAGATTTTTTCCATAAAAGTGGCCGGAAAATATGGCAATTTACTCTTTTGAATATACATTGCATTGAAGTTTTGAACATTTGGTGTTCCCTTTTCATATGGCTGACAACCCACTTATTTTATTCTAAGATTAATGTACCAAGTCCTGAAAAAAATGAAAAAAATATTCGAATGAAGTCAGCTGGGAGATATACTTCTAGAAGGTAGTCAAGTATATATAGACATTGATTCACTGAAAAAAAATGTAAAATTATTCTAATGAAGTCAGCTTGGAGATATACTTCTAGAAGGTATAGACATTGATTCCATTCGTATTAGTACATTTTTATACCGTTTTTCCTACCTGTATATAGATACAATGTCGTTGTCGGTAATGATGATATCTGGTTATAAAAGCAACCAGGACATCGTGCGTTTGTGGGCGAAAGAAAATGTTTTCAGTTTGAACTTCTTCTAGCAAACACACAATCTTTTGGAATGGAAACCGATTCTGTGCCAGTTTAATAGCTCTCTGGAATTTTTCTTCAGTAGTAATTGCAGTCATGGATAGATTTTCTTGCTGTAAAAATGACGAGAACGGACTAAATGTTGAAAACCCTGCACCAAAAGACGAATGTTGTTCGGTGTTGCCTTCCCGATTTAGACAGGTTAATTTATGATTTCTCCAATCATTCCTCTGGCATACCTTGGAACAATAAAATACCTTTTTGCACTTTGAGCATTTCTTATCGGTACTTTCCTCGCAAACAGAGCATACGGTTTGATCATTTTTAGTTTCACTTTTGATTATTGTTTTGATCGTTGGCTGCAATTTCTGGTTTTCACTTTGTGGCTTCATAATTTGTATTTTTGGTTTTGTTTGACACTCATTTTTCCCAATTTCTATCTTTTCGCCATCCATCGATGTATTAAAGCCTTCGGATTGTTCATTTGGTACATTTTCTGTAGATTTGTTAAAAGTTTCCCTTTTGCTACTGATCGTTTGTATATTTGTTTTATTGCATGTCAATTTATGTTCAACCCAACCTGCTCTTTGACAAATCTTAGAGCAATAAGAAACCATGTAACACCCAGTGCATCGCTTTAAAGTTATTCCTGATCTCTGACACCTGGCACACTCCATTTGCAAAGACAGGTGAATGTTCATTGTATGTATACTGTAATAGAAAAAAAACTATTCTTTTAACTTCTGTTCTGTCCAATAAACATAGTGCTTTAAAACTACTTCGTCTGTTCGTTTTTGTTTGGTATATGTAAATTTTTTTTTTTGGGAAGGTAAGTTTAGTAATATTCATTCACGGTATAAATGCTTTGGTTGGGTCGATACCACAGCTGGCGGAGGTTCCTCCCCGCGGGTATCACCAGCCCAGTAGTCAGCACTTCTGTGTTGACGTGAAATATGATCAAATATCACAATATGGTCATAATTATAATTTAAGTTAACAGTTTACAAAGCATTGAATTTTTCGAAATACTAAGGATTTGCTATACCAGGAATAGATTGCCTTAGCTGTATTTGGCAAAACCTTTCGGAATGTTGGGTCCTCAATGCTCTTCAACTTTATTTTGCCTTTAATATTTTTATTCGAGCGTCACTGATGAGTATTTTGTAGTTAAAGCGCGCCTCTGGTATACACAATTTTAATCCTGGTAGTTGTACGACATATGGTTTAGATAGGCTAAAGGAATGTTTGTGTGCACTTCAAGCTGGTTTATAGATTCAGATTCAATATTTTATTATATATTATTTACACTATGTACCTTTACCAAGTCAGGGTGGTTTAGACAGGCTAAAGTAATGCTTGTGTGCACTTCAAGCTGGTTTATACCCGCCACATTATGTACCTTTACCAAGTCAGGCTGGTTTAGACAGGCCAAAGGAATGCTTGAGTGCACTTCAAGCTGGTTTATACCAACCACACTATGTACCTTTACCAAGTCAGGCTGGTTTAGACAGGCTAAAGGAATGCTTGAGTGCACTTCAAGCTGGTTTATACCAACCACACTATGTACCTTTACCAAGTCAGGCTGGTTTAGACAGGCTAAAGGAATGCTTGAGTGCACTTCAAGCTGGTTTATACCAACCACACTATGTACCTTTACCAAGTCAGGCTGGTTTAGACAGGCTAAAGGAATGCTTGTGTGCACTTCAAGCTGGTTTATACCCACCATATTATGTACCTTTACCAAGTCAGGCTGGTTTAGACAGGCTAAAGGAATGCTTGTGTGCACTTCAAGCTGGTTTATACCCACCATATTATACACCTTTACCAAGTCAGGGTGGTTTAGACAGGCTAAAGTAATGCTTGTGTGCACTTCAAGCTGGTTTATACCCGCCACATTATGTACCTTTACCAAGTCAGGCTGGTTTAGACAGGCCAAAGGAATGCTTGAGTGCACTTCAAGCTGGTTTATACCAACCACACTATGTACCTTTACCAAGTCAGGCTGGTTTAGACAGGCTAAAGGAATGCTTGAGTGCACTTCAAGCTGGTTTATACCAACCACACTATGTACCTTTACCAAGTCAGGCTGGTTTAGACAGGCTAAAGGAATGCTTGTGTGCACTTCAAGCTGGTTTATACCCACCATATTATGTACCTTTACCAAGTCAGGCTGGTTTAGACAGGCTAAAGGAATGCTTGTGTGCACTTCAAGCTGGTTTATACCCACCATATTATACACCTTTACCAAGTCAGGGTGGTTTAGACAGGCTAAAGTAATGCTTGTGTGCACTTCAAGCTGGTTTATACCCGCCACATTATGTACCTTTACCAAGTCAGGCTGGTTTAGACAGGCCAAAGGAATGCTTGAGTGCACTTCAAGCTGGTTTATACCAACCACACTATGTACCTTTACCAAGTCAGGCTGGTTTAGACAGGCTAAAGGAATGCTTGAGTGCACTTCAAGCTGGTTTATACCAACCACACTATGTACCTTTACCAAGTCAGGCTGGTTTAGACAGGCTAAAGGAATGCTTGTGTGCACTTCAAGCTGGTTTATACCCACCATATTATGTACCTTTACCAAGTCAGGCTGGTTTAGACAGGCTAAAGGAATGCTTGTGTGCACTTCAAGCTGGTTTATACCCACCATATTATGTACCTTTACCAAGTCAGGCTGGTTTAGACAGGCTAAAGGAATGCTTGAGTGCACTTCAAGCTGGTTTATACCCACCATATTATGTACCTTTACCAAGTCAGGCTGGTTTAGACAGGCTAAAGGTATGCTTGTGTGCACTTCAAGCTGGTTTATAGCCGCCACATTATGTACCTTTACCAAGTCAGGCTGGTTTAGACAGGCTAAAGGAATGCTTGTGTGCACTTCAAGCTGGTTTATACCCGCGACATTATGTACCTTTACCAAGTCAGGCTGGTTTAGACAGGCTAAAGGAATGCTTGTGTGCACCACATTATGTATCTTTACCAAGCCAGGCTGGTTTAGATAGGCTAAAGGAATGCGTGTGTGCACTTCAAGCTGGTTTATACCCGCCACATTATGTACCTTTACCAAGTCAGGCTGGTTTAGACAGGTTAAAGGAATGCTTGTGTGCACTTCAAGCTGGTTTATACCCGCCACATTATGTACCTTTACCAAGTCAGGCTGGTTTAGATAGGCTAAAGGTATGCTTGTGTGCACTTCAAGCTGGTTTATACCAACCACATTATGTACCTTTACCAAGTCAGGTTGGTTTAGATAGGTTAAAGGAATGCTTGTGTGCACTTCAAGCTGGTTTATACCCGCCACATTATGTACCTTTACCAACTCAGGCTGGTTTAGACAGGCTAAAGGAATGCTTGTGTGCACTTCAAGCTGGTTTATACCCGCCACATTATGTACCTTTACCAAGTCAGGCTGGTTTAGAAAGGTTAAAGGAATGCTTGTGTGCACTTCAAGCTGGTTTATACCCGCCACATTATGTACCTTTATCAAGTCAGGCTGGTTTAGATAGGCTAAAGGTATGCTTGTGTGCACTTCAAGCTGGTTTATACCAACCACATTATGTACCTTTAGCAACTTAGGCTATCCTGGTCGTGTGGTAGATGTGGTCTGTCGTACCAATTGGTATTTTTGATGATTTCTGTTCTCTTTGTTTATGTATCGACTCAGATACATATAACCCATATCTCTGTTATTTATTTTTATGTAGATAAGGTTCTGTGGGTATATTTTCGGTGATTTAAGCATTCGTTGTTAATTGGTTGGCGTAGACACAGTTTGTTTTTCACATACAGGTAAAACAGAGTGTGATCTTTTAATTTTTGTTTGTGATTTACGAACAGTATTGACATTTGGCTGCCGTTGGAGTTGTATTTTTTAATTTTTTGATATACGAGTAGTTGATCTAATACACAAAATTAGTCGCGCGCATGCAAATAATCAAAATTATTAGAAGAGTACTTTCATTGCTGTTCTTCATCCTAAAGTCATAGTTAACTCTATTTGGTATTGACAATGTATTGTTGTTTCTTGTGAATGAAGTTCATATAGTGTCTATCTGAGTTAAATATTTCCTGATAATATAACTGCTAGTAAAACAGTTGGTGAATACGTCAGAAAAAGCTCACAAAGGCACAACAAAACCAAAAGTACATTTTATATCTTGTATTTCATATTGAATTATTAGTTAATCGTCCAAATATTGTCCTATGTATTTTTACAAATATGATTATGAATGACTTACCTTATAACTGTCAATGTTTGACGACCGGAAGGACCAGCAATAACACTAGCAGGCAAATTAATTTCCAGAAAATATGTAAAAGCGAAAGTAAAAGTTGATAAGGGAGCTACCATTTGATTTTCATGGGGGGGCTAGGATGAAATTTGAAAAAAATAGGCAGGACAGGAGTTTTGAGTAAAAAAAAAGGCAGGATGAGATTATTTGCAAAAAAAAAGGCAGGATGACAATTTATGTAAAAAAAAAAGTCAGGATAAATAAAAAAAAAAAAAGGCAGGACCGAATAGAGTGAAAAATAAAAAGGCAGGACCGAATAGAGGGAAAAATAAAAAGGCAGGACAAAATTTTTCATCCTAGCCCCCCCCCCCCCCCCCCCCCCATAAAAATCAAATGGTAGCTCCCTAATTGATAAGTTTTCAAGTATTTCATTTTTTATTTACAAGTGACTATTATTGTTGTTGTTACCAATTATTTTAATCAATTGTATCTGATTTTATGCCCTTTATGGACCCTGAAATTTGAAAAAAATAGGCAGGACAGGAGTTTTGAGCAAAAAATAGGCAGGATGAGATTATTTGCAAAAAAAAAAAAGGCAGGATGACAATTTATGTAAAAAAAAAAGTCAGGATAAACTAAAAAAAAAAAAAAGGCAGGACCGAATAGAGAGAAAAATAAAAAGGCAGGACCGAATAGAGGGAAAAATAAAAAGGCAGGACAAAATTTTTCATCCTACCCCCCCCCCCCCCCCCCCCCCCCCCATAAAAATCAAATGGTAGCTCCCTTATACAGTTGTATTTAAATGTAGATCTTTCCATATATCCGTATTTTGTGAGACTATTTTTATCTTCATAACTAGACTCTGAACAGTGTTGTTATCGTCACATTAATCTTAAAACATATACCAGTTATTCCTTCTCTTATTATAATAGTTCCTAATCTTTTAATGCAGAATTGGATTTTCTTTTCGTCCGACTGAAAAGTGCGCATAAAAAGAGGGCAATTTATTCTCATTAACAGACATTGGGTGCGGGATTTTCTCGCTGTGTTGAAGACCCATTGGTGACCTTCGGCTGTTTTCTGCTCTTTGGTCGGGTTGTTATCTCTTTGACACATTCTCCATTTCCATTCTCAATTATATTGAACTTATATTTAGTATAAAGTATGATGATAAATAGCAACTAAATGTTTCTTCAATTTGCGTTTAAGTCTTGACATTAAATGCATGTGGAGGTGCATGGTCGTGTCAAGACGCGATGAGAAGGACTCCTTTTTCATACATAAAATAAACACTTGATATTAACAATGCCTTTGGTATCCTTTATAAAAGTAAAAAGCATAGAAAGCTGTCTTGGACACAGATGAAAATATTACATATGCGTGGAACAGTGATTAATTAAAATGAAATCTAAAATGGTTTTATAATAAGGATGTTGTAAAAGAGAAGGCAGAAGAGGGTTACACTAATGACTGGACCGAATGACAGGACTTAATGACAGGACCAAATGAAAAATGCTAATAACTTTTTCATTTCTCAAAGGATTAATCTCAAATTTGAAAGATGATAAGATTTCATCATTTAATATATAGATTAAAGAAAAAAAATGAGATTTTTATTTTAGAAGTTTAGAAAACTTGACCTGACCAACGCTGATAATGACAGGACATTTTTCATTTGGTCCTGTTATTCGGTCCTGTCATTCGGTCCAGTCATTAATGTAACCCGGCAGAAGATAGCACGTGGGCAATCTAAATTCATAAAGACAGGCAACACATTGAACAAAAATTTAAAGACGACCAGAAAAACAATAGTCCACACAACTGTAAACATTAAATTGAGCAACACGAACCCGGCCAAAAAAATCCGCTGATGAACTCAGATGCCTCAGAAGGGCCAACAGTTCCTGTTCTACTAGTGATATCCGTCGTGTTGTTCCTGTATAATTCGTTGATGAGTCATTACCGGTGATAAGTCATTAAACAATAGCGTAGATGTCTCTTGTCTTAATATCCTCAAGAAATAAAAAAAAAAACAACAACAAAAAAACATCGGTACTACACTGACTTGGCGCTTGTTTGTGAATAAAACATTACCTATATACTTTTATATTTCAATTCCGCGGTTGTCTGTCCCACCAACTGAAACTTTTAATAAGAGTTTAATGACGTGGGTGTAAGCAATTATAGGCAACCTATGGCCTTCATTAATGAGAAAACCCCATACCGTATAGTCAGCTATGAAAGGCCCCGACATGCAAAATGTGAAACAATTCAAAAGAGATCACTAACGGCCTAATTTATAACAAAACAATTTACGAAAAACAAATATGACAGAACAAACGACAACCACTAAACTAAAGGCTCCTGACTTGGGACAGGCACATAAAAAAGAAATGTGGCGTGTTTCTTAAAACCAGATTCAACCCACCATTTTTTTTTATAATGTCCTGTACCAAGTCAGGAATATGGCAGTTGTTATCAGACATTCCCTTTCTATGTATGTTGGCGTTTGCTTTGTTGTACTTCAGTGTTTCTGTTGTTCCGTTGTTTTCCTCTTATAGTTGATGTGTTTCCCTCGGGTTTAGTTTGTTACCCGGATTTGTTTTTGCTTAATCGAATTATTACTATTGAACAGCGGTATACTACTGTTGCCTTTGTCTGTGAGCGCTCAACCTTCCCCTAACCTGAGACATTGGTGTAACAACAAACTGTAAAAATCAGTTGCAATTGGCTTAACTCAAAAGATCGGTACGAGGCACACAAAAAAACTAACATAAAACAATAGACACAAAACACTGAAATAAGAATACTCGCACTTAATGAACGCTAGTTGAAAGCCAATTACAAATAATGAATAGATCATTATTTCTCTGACTAAAACCTACTGTAAGATTGATTCGTAGCTGGCATTCCAAATTTTATTGACTTTAAAAAATTGATAAAACTCTATAGAACATTTGCTTTTAGCAAGATGATTAACCAATCGAAAACCGAGATATATATAATAAACCATTCACTGCAAGTTTAACATTGTCATTTTCCTGTGAGAAGACGAAATAACTTACCATTTACCTACTTTGAAGGCCTGCTACGAATGATTCCGACAACAGAAATAAGTGTGTCATACACTATTTTGTTGATAAATTAATACTTATTTACGAATTTACAAGTTTCAGTGGGATAGACAACTGCGTAATCGAAATATAACGGAAGTTCGCGACTGAGTGTCATGTCTCAAAAATACGAGGTGGGTACCTTGACATGTTATATTGTATATTGGTATTTTTCCCCCCGAAGCTAATGCCTGTGTACTATGATCCTTAGAAAAGTAGAATGCTTGTTATAAAATACAATCTTTATAGATAAAGGATAGACAAAGGCCTGTTGCCACAAGAGAAAACAAGAGAAAGCAGGTACATCGACGATTAAAATATCACAATTGACAACAAAGAAAACTAACACTTAAAGCAGCAGGGATTCCTTTAATAAGTGTTGGGAAACAAAGACGCCGTAACGATCGAGCTATTTATGATGGCGACTACTGAAGGGGTTGTGACATAGATTACCACTCTAGATCTATAACCGCCGAGATACATAAACGATTTTGGATGAACGAGTCGAATGGTATATTATACAAAAGAAGGGTCAGTTGAGAATAGGAAAACTGACATCAATGCGTTTAACGTATATCCTAGTTTTCCATAACATAAACAAATAAATAATATTTTAGATATGAAGCAGACCTTTGTCTGATTAGTATTCTTAAACCCATGTTTAAATTACAGATGTAAGAACTCAAAAAACATAGTGAGAAAAAAATGTAAAATTCTATATAATTTTATTTGAAATGTACATTTTTTAGAGATACATAAAGTACCGGTACCTTATCCATGCCTCGTTAACGTTAGTATATAGCATTTCAGTGATAAGTTAGTACTTGTTGGTACACAATATACAGTTTTGATAATAAATAATGTGTAACAGAATAAAAAAAAATTAATATGATATATTCTTAGTTTAAGAAGATAGATTAATTTTTTCTGCAACCAAATTTGTAGAAGTTTTTATATTTGCCTTGTTTATTTGTCAATATTTCATAATGTTGGAGAAGGTCATTTTTAAAAATTTCAAACACATTAATTTGTTTTATTTTCTGCTCGGATATATAATATAGTTTATATATAGTAAAAAGTATGATTGTTAGAAAATCGTTAATATTGTAAGAATTTATATCGTTTATCTTGTATCCATACAATTTTACAAAAGTGATGCAAGTGATATTATATGATGTCCTATTTTAAGTTTGTCTAGTATTAGTTTCATTTGATCCCAAAATGATTTCAGATATTTGCATGTCAAAAAGTAATGTTCATAAATTTTTCAATGACATTACATATATTACATAAAGGAGTTTTAGTTATTTTCCAAGAGAAAAGTAATTGTTTGGTTGGCAAAATGCAATGTAGAAATTTCCATCTTAACATTCTCAATTTATTATCTTGGATAAAGTTAAAGATAAAGTACAACATTTGTTCTCTTTTCCTTGTATTGTTATCTAAATTAAGAATTCTGTCCCATTTTTGAAATCCTATTGCTTTCTCATAATATCTTTTTAAAAGGGAGATGTAGATATCTTTTGAGGAAAATGCTTTTATTGGTATCATTTATCCTTCTCTATCTATGAATTTAAATTCGGAGTCGGTAGCGACTTTTGTTTTAACTGATTCTTCTTTTATTTGCTCTTGAAACCACTGTTTTGGTATTGCTTTCATCAATTTAGTATATTCCGAAAACCAATTAGCATGGCAAATTAAGATAGTTTAACTAAAATCTTATTTTGATCAATTTTTCCTTTATCATCAATTATGTCATTTACAAATAAAATTTTACTGTCTATCCAATATTTGAAAATAAGATATTTATCTTTTAATTTGATATGCTTATTGTCCCATATTAGTTGCTGTCTGATATGTTTATATGTTAGTCGATCTGATTCTTTTTCAGATTTTGAATTTATCCATGATATGATTATTTTTAAGTAAAATTCTGGAACAATTAAGTTTATTAATCAAATTAATATTGTTAAAGTCCATTTTAAATATAAGGAATTCTTGTCCAAATTTGTCTAGGTAAAATTTTGGTAAGACTTTCCAATTGGGTGATGAGTCTTCATTATCAATGAGTCTTTTTATCTAAATAATATTAATGGATTGTATATATTTATCTATGTCTATCATTATAAGCCCGCCAGCATAAATTTTTTTACTTATTATAGCTCTTTGAACTATTCCATATAAAACTATATATTATTTTTTTAAATTTTGCGAGGTATTCTTATCAATTTCTGTTAGTGATGCAACATAGGTAATATTTGGTAGGATTAGTGATTTAACAAGAGTTATTTTACCTAACATAGTTAATTTTCTTTTATTCCAATCTTTAATTATTTTTTCCGATTTTTCGTATTGTTTTTGCAAGTTTAATTTTTTACACTCATTTTTATTATGTTGAAAATATATTCCTAATACTTTTATCGGTTCTTGTGTCCACTTAATGTCTTTAAAGGACTTTAAATTTCCGAGCCATATCCCCTCTGTTTTATTTCGATTAAGCTTTAAGCCTGAAAGTGATCCGAAAATTTCGATATTGTTCAAAGTTAATGAAACTTCTTGTTTTGAATTTTAAAATAAAGTGGTGTCATCTGCAAGCCGGCTTAACTTTAGAGTATGGGTTTTATTATCTAGTTTGATTTGAAAACCTTTAAAAAATTTTTATCTTTTCTTAATCTACAGGCTAGAATTTCAACAGCAAAAACGAAAATTATAGAACTCGCGGGACACCCTTGACGGATCCCGCGCTCAATGCGGAAGGGTATTGAAATCCACCCATTATTTAATATGCAACCCTTTATATATGTATATAAAGTATTTATCCACTTCAGTAAAGATTTCTGAAAGCCAAATTTCTTTAATGAACAATACATAAATTCCAATTCTTATGAGTCAAATGCCTTTGAAAAATCTAAAAAAAGTCTACGTTGAATTTTTCTGAATAGTCTATAATATCTTGGATTTGTCTAATATTAAACCCAATATATCTTTTTTTTACATACCCGTTTTGATCACTGTGAATGATTTTATGCAATACTGGTTTAAGTCTTTGTGCAAGAGAATATGCTTTAATTTTGGTATCTACATTTAATAAAGTAATTGGTCTATAATTGTCTAATTTTAACGGGTCATTTTTCTTGTAAATAAGGGTAATTAATCCTAGTTTCTGTGAATTTGTCTATTCTTGTTTCTCATAACAATGATTAAAGACATCTACAACAAAATATTGTAAGTTGGACCAGAAAGATCTATAAAATTCAATTGGAAGACCATCAATACCCGGTGTTTTGTTAAGTTTCATTTTGAAAACAGAATTTGTACATTCCTCTATTGTCAGCTTTCCTTCAATTTCATTACTTTCGAGTGTAGTTTGTTTACAGTTTATTTTTGTATTTTCAATATATTTCTCAATTTCTCCTAAATCTGGCTTAGTTGAAGTATATAAATTTACATAATAATTCCTCCCCGTTTCTAATATTTTACCTTCAGTTATTTCCCCTTGACTGTCTCTAATAGCAATAATATTTTTTCTTGTCTGTCTCGATTTCTTTAATCCCAAAAAATATTTTGTATTTTTTTCGCCTTCTTCTATCCACTTAACTCTTGATCTAATTTGTGCCCCTTTTATTTTATCAGAATATAGAGTTTGTAGCATTTCTTCGGTTTTCTTTATTGAATCTATTATGTTCGGCATTTTTTTTTTTTTTTCAGCAAGGTTGTTATCCTGAATTTCATTCAAAAGTTTTAGTTCTTGTTCTAATTCTTTAATTTCATCTCGTTTATTTACAGCTTTAAATTTACAATATTCAATAGTAGTCTCCTTTACCTCTATTTTAAACAGATCCCACACAATTGCTAAGCTTTTTCGGTTTCTTAATTTTTCATATTTATCTATTAAAGTGTTTATCTTCATTTTGATTCGACTTTAATAATACTATTGTTTAATTTGAAATAACCCTTTCCTTTCTCCCCCTGACAATGATTTATCTTAAGTGAAATCGCTAGATGGTTTGTATATTGAATTGTGGTGGGTCTTATATCAGTGTGGAGTACCCTAGGTCTCATGTCTTGACTCACGAGAAAATAATCAATTCTACTAGCTACTTCATTTTTTTTTCTTATCAAGGTAATTTTTTTTTTTTTTTTTTTGAATTTATTACTCTCCAAATGTCTATAACCTTTAGTTTTTTTATTAAACTTTTCAACGCATTTGTCTTATTTTTTATTTTTTATTTTTTGTTTATCTTTTCTATTACTTCTTTTAACTTTTATATTAAGCGTTTCATTCATATCTCCCCCTATAATAATTATACCAAGTTTATATTTTTCAATGACACTTAAAGCTTTTTTGAAGAATGTATTTCTATCTTTATTTTTGGCGTAAATGTTTACAAAAGTAAATATATTTTTATCAATTTGAAAAAAAATGTTGATGTATGTTTTGGGTTCTCCTTTTATAATCTGTTACTATTCTCAAATATCATATATTTTATGAGTTTCCAAAAATTTGAACTTAAATATAACATTAAAATGACAAGATTACAGGATAGGACTACAATACAAATAAACGGGAGAACATACAGGACAGAGACACACACAAATTAAGTGATGTTTTTTTTCCAGAAACAAATGTCGTGAGATGAGTACTTTTTATTCACCACAACATTTTACAAAATATGAAAACATCAAAACACAAATAATTGTGACAAAAATTATACATGCAGTACTGAAGTAACCTCCATCCACGTCAATATAAGGAACACTTCCTGTTTCATTTGTACGAAATCCAAACTCGCCATCTTGAAATACTGTAAGTGTTGGGTTTTTGAGTGCGACGAAGCGTCCCGGTCTTGTTATACCAGACAAACAGAGTAGCTCCAAGCACAGTTCTTCGTCGTTAATATCCTAGAAATGTAAAAAAAAAAAATATGACACCGATTACAGAGTGTCCGATTAGTGTGTCTAGATTAATCTACACCAGTCACGCAGTCACACGATACAAAGGAATACAAATGATACATTTGATATAAACGAAACGAAATGTAAATGTAATGTTTTCGATCTATGAGTTTGACTGTCCCTCTGGTATCTTTCGTCCCTCTTTTAGACAATCTTCGATGTTCAAGTAATGACAGATGTTTTGAATGTTTCGGACTCATTCACAACTTCTATAGACTTGGGACGTTTTAGAGTTTATCATATTCGTAGACACATGTCTACTGTTGAGGACCATATGTTTTTGGATGTCTTTTTATGTTTTTGTCGTAGCGTTGCTGTCTGATTGACATTCCACGTCTCTTTTTATTACAATTCATCCATTTAGTCTGTGAAAACAAGGTCAATATTCAATATTGATATTGGGCTTTGAAATTGAGAACTTTGTTGTCAAAAAGGTCTTTGATGGATGTCAAATGTAGATGTTCTTGACTGTAACACTGTTGTTGGAACGTCAGGAACATGAAAATGAAGGAATGAATAGAAAACATTTCTGTAACTTTAAGTTCATCATGGATTTTTCAAAATTAAAAAAAAATGTTAAATTCAAATGAAAATATAATTTGCAGCTTTTATATATTTACATTTAAAAAAGTCATTTGCTCCTTTTTTTCATTTTCGGTATATTTAATGAACCACAGCATCGGTTTGCATGTAGACATTTATAATTGCTAAATTTAACAAATAACTTTTTAATAACATATGTGAGGTTAAAAATAGTGTTTTTATCACTTTGTTTGGGTAAGCGAAATATTGACCCCTTCACCTTCACCAGAAAAAGATTTTTTTTAGGTAGCTGGGGTGTCTAAATATTCGACGATATTTCTGAAACTTCAGTGAGACTTCTGGGTCAATGTGCTTCCAAATTTTAATATAAAAACTGGGGGTCACGGACCTTGTTTTCTCGTTAAAATACATTGAAATTAACAAAATCACATTTATTTTATATGGGTTATATAGCTAAGGGGAAACTTAATTTTTCTTTATCGAAGAGTCATTAAACGATAAAATTTGTTAAACTTTATTGAGAGAATTGCTTTTCATCAATACATCCGAAATATCAAATACAAATAGGGGTCATGAGCCTTAATTTCTTGAAAAATTAAAAAACACAAATTGTTCTATCAAATACAATTTAATTATCATATCTGCTCTTGAATTTAAAGGATTTTTACGAAAATTTTAAATACACTTAATTTTTTTATAGTCTAATCTTTAAATTTCAAGTTTTAATTGTTTCTGTTATATATTGAATGATACTTGGTAAAACAAATTACACCAAAAAAGTAATTTTATAACATGCCCAGAAGGAATCCACATAAAATACACCCGATCTACCTCAAGAACGTTTGCAACAACTCTAACGGGTTTGTAGCCGGCTTGTGTTCTTACCCTATTCAACATCCCCCATGAATCCAGGCTGACCAACTCTCAGGACTTAAACAGAAAAACTGGACGAGCCTGGTATTTTAACGTGTTTATGGGAAGTTATTAAATACACCTATGCATAAACATTGCTGAATAAGACGCATTACCAACGAAACCCTGTCGATATTCTCTCAGTAATAGACACATATTACCACACATAACACAACCTATATATACTTACCCGAACATAAACCTTCTTATTCACTTCAGAAACCCTGTGTATTTTGCCAAGCAATATCGAATCATCTTCCACTGTTCTCAGTAAAATAAGTTCTGGTAACAAGTGTGGATAGTGTGGTATTAAATGCATTATTTCAAATGTAATATTGGAGAAGCACGTGATAATTTTGCACCCGGGAAAGACAGAAGACACTTTTACTCTTGCCTTTTCAAACAAACTTTTGTTGAGATCCCTTCTTTCAATTATACTTTCCCTAAAAAGATTCCGCCTGAAGTGATCTTCTGGACATAGTATGCTCTCTAGATGTAGTTGTTGGTTCTCTTTTCGGACATTGTTTCTGTTTTGACTGGATGTCTTGTTTTGTGCAGGCTTTGGCCATTGAAGTTGTTTTCGATTTCGCTTTCGAACCATTTTCAATCGAAAATCCGTTGGTATCACCAGCTCAGTAGTCAGCACATGAAATATCATAATGTGGTCATAATTATAATTTAACAGTTTACAAAGCTTTGAATTTTTTGAAATACTTAGGGTTTGCTATACCAGGAATAAATTACCTTAGCTGTATTTGGCAACAACTTTCGGAATGTTGGGTCCTCATTGTTCGTCAACTTTATTTTGCCTTTTAACATTTTTTAGTCGAGCGTCACTGATGAGTCTTTTGTGGACAAAACGCGCCTCTGGCATACACAATTTTAATCCTGGTAGCTTTACATCATATGGTTTAGATAGGCTAAAGGAATGCTTGTGTGCACTTCAAGCTGGTTTATACCCGCCACATTATGTACCTTTACCAAGTCAGGCTATCTTGTTCGTGTGGTAGATGTGGTCTATTGTACCAATTAGTATTTTTGACGATTTCTATTCTCCTTTTTTATGTATCGGCTCAGATACACATAACCCATATCTCTTTTATTTCTTTTTATGTAGATAAGATTCTGTGGGTATATTTTCGGTGATTTAAGCATTCGTTGTTAATTGGTTGGCGTAGACAAAGTTTGTTTTTCACATACAGGTAAAACAGAGTGTGATCTTTTAATTTTTGTTAGTATTGACATTTGGCTGCCGTTTGAGTTGTATTTTTAAATGGTTTGTCATATTATTAATTCAACAACATGAAACATATTGGATATAGTTGATCAATCTAATATACAAAATTAGGCGTGCGCATGCAATAATCAAAATTATTAGAAGAGTACTTTCATTGCTGTTCTTCATCCCAAAGTCATAGTTAACTCTATTTGGTATTGACATTATCTTGTTGTATCTTGTGAATGAAGTTCATATAGTTTCTATCTGAGTCAAATATTTCCTGGTAAAATAACAGCTAATAAAACAGTTGGTGAATACGTCAGAAAAAAACAAAAGTACATCTTATATTTTATATCTTGTATTTCATATTGAATTATTAGTTAATCGTCCAAATATTGTCCTATGTATTTTTACAAATATGATTATGAATGACTTACCTTATAATTGTCGATATTTGACGACCGGAAGTACCAGCAAATTAATTTCCGGAAAATATGTAAAAGCGAAAGTAAAAGTTTTCAAGTATTTGATTTTTTATTTTCTTTAATATTTGCATATTTGTTCCTCGGTTAGTCCCAATTGCATCGTTTAGTCGCTTAGGCATAAAGTTTGAATTTTACCAAAGAAGAAGACTTGAAGTTTATTTCTACTAGCATGGTATTAACATACGGTAGATACTTCTTATACAGTTGTATTTAAATGTAGATCTTTCCATATACCTGTGTTTTGTGAGACTATTTTTATCTTCATAACTATACTCTGAACAGTGTTGTTATCGTCACGTCAATCTTAAAACATGTACTAGTTATTCCTTCTCTTGTTATAATAGTTCCTAATCTTTAATTGGAAAAGTGCGCTTAAAAAGAGGGCAATTTATTCTCATTAACAGACATTTGGTGCGGGATTTTCTCGTTGTGTTGAAGACCCATTGGTGACCTTCGGCTGTTTTCTGCTCTTTTTCACACATAAAATAAACACTTAATAATAACATTTGCCTTTGGTATCCTTTATAAAAGTAAAAAGCGTAGAAAGCTCTCTTGGACACAGATGAAAATATTACATATGCGTGGAACAGTGATTAATATAAATGAAATCTATGATGGTTTTAGAATAAGGATTTTGTAAAAGAGAAGACAGCACGTGAGCAATCTAAATTCAAGAAGACAGGCAAAACATTGAACAAAAATTTAAAGACGACCAGAAAAAGAATTGGCCACACAACTGTAATCATTAAATTGAGCATCACAAACCCCGCCAAAAAAAAAAAAAAAAAAAAAAAAAAAAAAAAAAAAATCAGTACTACACTGACATAGGCGCTTGTCTGTGAAAAACATTACCTATATTCTTTTATATTTCAATTCCGCGGTTGTCTGTCCCACCAACTGAAACTTTTAATAAGAGTTCAATGATGTGGGTGTAAGCAATTATAGACAACCTATGGCCTTCATTAATGAGAAAACCCCATACCGTATAGTCGGCTATGAAAGGCCCCGACATATAAAATGTGAAACAATTCAAACGAAAAACTAACGGCCTAATTTATAACAAAACAATTTACGAAAAAACAAATATGACAGAACCAACGACAACCACTAAACTAAAGGCTCCTGACTTGGGACAGGCACATAAAAAAAAATGTGGCGTGTTTTTTAAAACCAGATTCAACCCACCATGTTTTCTTAAAATGTCCAATACCAAGTCAGGAATATAGCAGTTGTTATCAGACATTCCCTTTCTATGTATGTTGGCGTTTGCTTTGTTATAGTTCAGTGTTTCTGTTGTTCCGTTGTTTTCCTCTTATAGGTGATGTGTTTCCCTCGGTTTTAGTTTGTTACCCGGATTTGTTTTTGCTTAATCGAATTATGACTATTGAACAGCGGTATACTACTATTGCCTTTTTTTAACGTCTGTGAGCGCTAACCTTCCCCTTACCTGAGACAATAGTGTAACAGGTCAACATTAGAACAAACTTTAAAAATCAGTTGCAATTGTCTTAACTCAAAAGATCGGTACGAGACACACAAAAAAACTAACATAAAACAATAGACACATAGCACCGAAATAAGAATACTCGCACTTAATGAACGCTAGTTGAAAGCCAATTACAAATAATGAATAGATCATTATCTCTCTGACTAAAGACTACTGTAAGATTGATTCGTAGCTGGTATTCAAAATTTTATAGACTTTACAAAATTGATGTAACTCTATAGAACATTTATTTTAAGCAAGAGGATTTACCAATCGGAAACCGAGATATATATAATCAATCATTCACTGCGAGTTTAACATTGTCATTTTGCTGTGAGAAGACGAAATAACTTACCATTTACCTACTTTGAAGGCCTGCTACGAATGATTCCGACAACAGAAATAAGCGTGGCATACACTGTTTTGTTGATAAATTAAACAAACAAACAACGGTAAATTGCCGGCTCATCTGCATGTTCCACTAAAGAATTGTCCATTAGATTGACTAAAATTCTGTCCGCAGTGAAAGAGGGTCTTCAGAAATGCTGTGAAACTGTTTACTCGCGTAGTGGTATTAACCATATGTGGATTCTTAAAAACTCTAAAGAACTTCTGGATAGTTTTAAATCCCGGTCTTTTTCTGAAATTAGTTCTATCAAAACTTTTGATTTTTCAACCTTGTATACCACCATTCCCCAATGTGAAATTGAAAAACCGTCTAAAAGAAATAATCCACAATGCTTTTCATCATAAAAATGGTAGCATACGCTATAAATTTATTACTTTGGGATACCATAAGGCATATTTTGTTAATAGTGAACAAAAGGGTAAAACATGCTACACAGAGGAACAAGTGATCAGTATGCTGGAGTTTCTTATTGACAACATATTTGTTGAATTCGGAGGTAGACTTTTTCAACAAATTATCGGCAATTCTATGGGAACGAACTGTGCGCCTCTCCTTGCCGACCTCTTCTTATTTTCAGATGAATCGGAGTTCCTTCAGACACTTGTCAAAAACAAGAAGATCAAAGAAGCCAGGTTATTTAATTTCACTTTCAGATATATTGATGATGTTCTTTCCATTAACAATCCGAACTTTTCTGATTGGGTTATATTAATATATCCACCAGAACTAGAAATTAAAGAAACAACAGACACGGCTTCCTCCGCCTCATTTTTAGACTTATACCTCGAATTTGACATGCACAGTCATCTCAGTCCCAGAATCTATGACAAACGAGACGATTTTAATTTTGAAATTATCAATTTCCCCCACCTTAGTAGCAATATACCAACTTCACCTGCATATGGGATATACATTTCCCAACTTATTCAGTATTCAAGAGCTTGCAGCTCCTACTCAGACTTTGTAAAACGTCACCAGTGTCTGAGCAGAAAGTTGATAAACCAGGGGTATGTCAAAGAACGTCTCGTCCTTTTTCTAAAAAAGTTCATCGGAAGGTACCAAGAACTTGTTGATAAATATTCCGTATCAACTTCACAAATAATACACGATGGTCTTGAATTATAGATGTTGCGTACTGACGTTGTTTATCATCTTAATAACGTGTTATAGTATTCTTTTATTTATCTTTATTATTATTACTTTTACTGTTAAGTCTGTTTTTTTGAGATATCCATTTGTCGTGACTCTGTGCTTATGTATCCCGTCATACTTTGAACGACAAAATTATTTTATTTATTAATATTACTTTTACTGTTGAGTCTGTTTTTTGTGATATACATTTGACGTGACTCTGTACTTATGTATATCGTCATACTTTGTACCACACAATTATTTTATTTTATTTATTAATATTACTTTTACTGTTAAGTCTGTTTTTGTTATATCCATTTTACGTGACTCTGTATTTATGTATCCCCTCATACTTTGAACGACAAAATTATTTTATGTCTACCTGTGCGAATTTCAAACGCGCGATTTTACGCCAGTACTTCAAACCTTCCATCCTTTATGGGTGGATTTTACATAGATACATAAAATCGTATAATATAAGCAAAATGAGGATTTTAAATTTGATGTATGCATTTTTGTGCTTCTTCGTTATATTTATTTGTTTTTATAATGATTAAGATGATAACACAATGTTGACCTCTGTACCCCTATTTTTGACATTTTTACCTATTGTGTCTCTTTGTTTTGTTCACGCATCGTTGTCAATATAATGGAATTTGATGCGACTGTCATACAAGTGAGAGGTTTAGCTAGCTATAAAACCAGGTGCAATCCACCATTTTCTACATAAGAAAATGCCTGTACCAAGTCTGGAATATGACAGTTGTTATCCATTCGTTTGATGTGTTTGTTTTTTTTTATTTGCCATTTGATTGGGGACTTTCCTTTTTGAATTTTTCTCGGAGTTCAGTATTTTTGTGATTTTACTTTTTAATACTTATTTAAGAATTAACAAGTTTCAGTGGGATAGACAACCGCGTAATCGAAATATAACGGAAGTTCGCGACTGAGTGTCATGTCTCAAAAATACGAGGTGGTTACCTTGACGTGTTATATAGTATATTGGTATTTTTCCCCCCGAAGCTAAATTAAATGCCTGTTTACTATGATCCTTAGAAAGGTAAAATGTAATAAAATACAATCTTTATAGATAAAGGATAGACAATAGCCTGTTGCTGCAAGATAAAACAGGTACATCGACGATTAAAATATCACAATTGACAACAAAGAAAACTAACACTTAAAGCAGCAGGGATCCCTTTAAGGTAGATATGGTGTCTTCCTCCATCTTGGATTTTGAAATACCAGAAAACAATCGGTCTAGATCTTTAAGAAAATGTGCAAGCTTTGAGAGTAGTAGGTAATTCATGTGTAAGAATTTTCATTTCAATATAGAAAATGACATGTTTTATCATATTTATGGTTGTATTTTACAAAAAACAGAATACTTTTGTTCGATTCAATTTTTTCCAACTTTGCCACATAAGGGGAGGCAACTCAAATGTAAGGGCAGATAATTCAGATAAAGTTATTTTTACAATAGAATGTGTTAGGAATTTACCTTTTTTATTATGTAGCAAGAAAACGGGTCCCGTGACCCCATTTTTTCTTTTTCTTATCTGAAAGCATAATATTTAAACTATCTTCTCATATTTTATCTCAAAATTCTATGGTGTAGTTTTCGTTTTATTGCAGAAAATTGGGTTTTCAATGCATAATCTATACAAAATCTGTCAATTTTGCGCAACCTGTAGCGTGAAAATAAGCCCCGTGACCCATTTTTTTTATTATTTTTAAAAAAAAAGCATGATATAAACTACATTTTGGCAAATTATTAAAAAATTCTATGAATTATAATTTAGACACCCCATCTACCTTAATAAGTGTTGGGAAACATAGACACTGTAACGATCGAGCTATTTATGCTGGCGACGACTGAAGAGATTGTGACATAGATTACCGCTCTAGTTCTATAACCGCCAAGATACATAAACGATTTTGGGTGAACGAGTCGAATGGTATATTACACAATAGAAGGGTCAGTTGAGAATAGGAAAACTGACATCAATGCGTTTATCGTAGATCCTAGTTTTCCATAACATAAACAAATAAAATAATATTTTAGATATGAAGCAGACCTTTGTCTCATTAGTATTCTTAAACCCATGTTCAAATTACAGATGTAAGCACTCACAAAACAAAGGGGTCATTGAGTTAACAAATATATCTGAAAGTAAGAAAAAAATGTTGATGTATGTTTTGGGTTCTCCTTTTATAATCTATTCTCAAATATCATATATTTTATGAGTTTCCAAAAATTT